TTTCTGGAGGGCCACAGCTCTGCACAGTTTTGCTCCAACCCTAATCAAACACACCTGATCCAGCTAATCAAGGTCTTAGGACTGCTAGAAACTTCCAAACCGGTGCGAGTTGGAGCTAAACTCTGCAGAGCTGTGGCCCTCCAGAAATTGAGTTTGAGACCAATACTTTATACCAGGGGTGCCAACCCTGCTCCTGGTGATCGACTGTCCTGCAAAGTTCAGCTCCAACCCTAATCAAACACACCTGATCCAGCTAATCAAGGTCTTAGGACTGCTAGAAACTTCCAAACCGGTGCGAGTTGGAGCTAAACTCTGCAGAGCTGTGGCCCTCCAGAAATTGAGTTTGAGACCAATACTTTATACCAGGGGTGCCAACCCTGCTCCTGGTGATCGACTGTCCTGCAAAGTTCAGCTCCAACCCTAATCAAACACACCTGATCCAGCTAATCAAGGTCTTAGGACTGCTAGAAACTTCCAAACCGGTGCGAGTTGGAGCTAAACTCTGCAGAGCTGTGGCCCTCCAGGAATTGAGTTTGAGACCACTCGTATAAAGCACTTTAGAAATAAAGGTGACTTGACTTGTACTTCTGTATTTCCTCCCGATTCAGGGGCTTCAGAAAGGTCCGGGTTCGCATTGGGCTGGTCCTAATGGAGACCGGACTCTCTCTTCCAGTGCTTCAGCCGACGGCGGCCCTCACAATCAGGTTGGACTTCCCGCCACGACCCCATCGGAGCCAGCTGTCAATCATCTGTCCTCTCCTTCCTCCACGTCGTCCCCCGCTTCTTCCTCCTCGCAAACGGCTACCTCAGGTGTGCCCCACGGCACTGGCCCGACCAAAGAGAGCGCCGCCCTGCAGGCCAACGGTTCCACTGCCACCAACCACCACAGTCCCGACCGCTCGCCCACTTCCACTTCCGGCTCTCCGGCAGCTGCTTCCGCAGACAATCCACAGCTCTCCGCTCTTCTCAGGAGCAAGGAGAGTCCTGCCGTGAGCTCGAGGGTGAACCACATCCACCCGGGCACCACGCTAATGGCGTCCACCGCTTCTTCGCCCGCCTCATCACCGCCACCCCGCTCCGCAGAGCTTAACAAGCCAGGCTCCTCCGCGCCGCCCGCCGTCACCGTTAACGGAGGTGGAGGGGGAGCGTGTTCAGAAGACTCTCAGAGCCCGCTGAAGCTGGAGCCGCCGGAGCTTTGCATCAAAACCGCCACAGCTCTCAAACCCTCTCTCTCGTCCTCCACCGTCTCCATTTACCCCACTTCAGCAGACGTCCTGAAAGCCTGCAGGTACGCTCAGCTCCTGTGGAGTGATATAAGAATTATCGCCCTCTAGTGGCGGCGCATGTTTTACTCACACTGCAGACGCACAGACAAACCTATACATGCTGCTGATTGACTTAAAGGTCTGGTTAAGACAATTTGACTGGGTCTGGGCGCAGATCTAACCATAACCGCACACCAAACATGCTCTCTTTACATTTGTTTAGAATCGCTGTATTAATATTGTTTGCACAGCGAGTTACACAGCATGTTCCTCCTTGCGCCCCTAACAGCTGTAGCTCATGACGTGCAGAAAAAAGGACGCTGAAACACAAGCACGTCTGAACGCTACAGCAAAGTATTCGGCGAACTCAAGTGAACAAGCACGCATGGGAAAGCTGTCTGTGGCATTAATGTGGCGCAGTCGCCTCTGTGGACTGGACCTTCTTTGTTGTTGTATGCACAAACAGAAATATATTTTATACATTATATTTTATTTTGAAGTGCTTAAATGATGTCAGACATTGTGCTTGTGCAAAGAAAAGAAATGCAAGTTGAATTTTAGACTTGAGGGTGTTGTGCGTCTGCAGGTGTTGAGAATCTGATGACTTTCTTTAACATTTCAGCTTTGACTAATTTGTAAATATTGTACTCTGCAGAAATAACATTATTCTTCATGTCTAATGTCACGTTTATTGACAGGAATCTCCGGAAGAACGGTCTGTCGAGCAGCAGTATCCTGCTGAACAAGTGTCCGCCGCCGCGGCTTCCTCCTCCTCCGTCACCGCCGCTCGCTAAAGACAAGCTCAACCCACCGACGCCGAGCATCTATGTGAGCAGCGCACACATGCCCCTGCTTAGAAATAATTAACGCTGTGTATATTTGATACAGGTCTAATTGCAATCATAAATGTGTGTTTGTTCATATTTCAGTTGGAGAATAAAAGGGACGCGTTCTTCCCGCCGCTGCACCAGTTCTGTACCAACCACTCCAACCCTGTCACCGTCATCCGCGGCCTAGCTGGAGCCCTCAAACTAGGTTAGAGCTCACACAGACTCTCGCTCGCTCTCACTCACTCACTCACTCTCTCACACACACTCACTCACTCTCTCACTCACTCACTCACTCTCTCACACACACTCACTCACTCTCACACTCACTCACTCACTCACTCACTCTCTCACACACTCACTCGCTCTCTCACACTCACTCGCTCTCTCACACACTCACTCGCTCTCTCTCACTCACACACTCACTCGCTCGCTCGCTCGCTTGCTCACTTACACTCACTCTCTCACTCTCTCACTCACTCTCTACTCACTCACTCACTCACTCTCACTCACACACTCGCTCACTTGCTCGCTCGCTTGCTCACTTACACTCACTCTCTCACACACTCGCTCTCTCACACACTCACTCGCTCTCTCACACACTCACTCGCTCTCTCACACACTCACTCGCTCTCTCACACACTCACTCGCTCTCTCACACACTCACTCGCTCTCTCACACACTCACTCGCTCTCTCACACACTCACTCGCTCTCTCACACACTCACTCGCTCTCTCACACACTCACTCGCTCTCTCACACACTCACTCGCTCTCTCACACACTCACTCGCTCTCTCACACACTCACTCGCTCTCTCACACACTCACTCGCTCTCTCACACACTCACTCGCTCTCTCACACACTCACTCGCTCTCTCACACACTCACTCGCTCTCTCACACACTCACTCGCTCTCTCACACACTCACTCGCTCTCTCACACACTCACTCGCTCTCTCACACACTCACTCGCTCTCTCACACACTCACTCGCTCTCTCACACACTCACTCGCTCTCTCACACACACACTCACTCGCTCGCTCACACACACTCACTCTCTCACACACACACACACTCACTCGCTCGCTCATATACACTCACTCACACACACTCACTCGCTCGCTCATATACACTCACTCTCTCTCTCACTCACTCTCTCACACTCACACTCACTCTCTCTCTCTCACACTCACTCTCTCACACTCACACTCACTCAATTTCAATGTAAGAGTGCTTTATTGGCATGACAAAAATTATACATTTGTATTGCCAAAGCAATTGCAGCTGGACAAATAGTACACATGTATTAACAGAAAGAAAAAGAATAATAGTAATAATCTCTCTCACACACACACACTCACTCACACACTCACTCGCTCGCTCATATACACTCACTCTCTCTCTCTCTCACTCACTCATTCACACACACACACACACACACTCACACACACACACACACACACACTCACACACACACACACACACACACACATACATTCACACACCACACACACTCACTCACACACACACACACTCACTCACACACACACACACACATACTCACAATCACACACTCACTCATTCACACACACACACACACACACACTCACACACACTCACACACACACGATTACCTGAAAGGCCAGATGTGGATTCTTGTGGGAGTGACACGTTTCTCTGCAGTTTCCATGGCAACTATAAAACAGATTGAAACTTGCTTTGCCCTCCATTGTTGCAAAGAATTCAAGGACGTTTGGCTGGTTTGCTGGATGAAATGCAAAATTCTCTGATTTACATCTCACGCTAGTATTATAGAGCCATAACCAAGTTTAGGAGGCTTTTGACACTTGTGAAGCTTTATTCTGTTGAATGTGGTCTGTCACATTGGCCCTTAAGTATTAAAAAGTCTTAAATGCCATTTACCAAGGTATTACATTTTGTATCATCTTTTCATTCTGTATATTTGTGGAATCCTGCAAGATTTGAGGTCATCTGTTACGGCGCTCACTGACTGACTGATATTATTTTTGCGCATCAGGGTGCTGTTTAAACTGTTGCCATGGGCTGATTTTCCCCAGTGGGTTAGAGGTTTGAAATATTGCATAAATTACATTTGGTTGAAATGCTTGTACTGAAACATTTTGCATTCTACCTGTAATAAAACTGCTAAATGTTTGGGCCACACTAGTAGGAAGCATTTGAGCTGTGTTTATGATAAATGCATAACAGTGACTGTAAAATATGTATTTTAGGGATGGAAAAGAATACATACTATTCATTATGGATATAAGACATTTTTATATTTGGGACATGGTAATTGCGCTAGTTTGGGCTGTTTTTTTATTACTGGCAATTAAAATGATGTAGTAGTTGTGGTCATTATTTTACCTTCCATGATCATTCAGACACGATCAGCTGCAGTACTGACACTCGGTCAAGTCTGCATCAAATTAAATTAAATGAATTGCTAATTACTACATTGAAATAAAAATGTAAAGCCTGTACAAATATTAGAAATCGTGAATATGAATAATACGGTAGACGTTTTATTTTCTATACTCACTGTGTGTCTTAAATGCGTAAAGGGACGGCTTCGGCTAGAAATGTTCAAAAGGAGCAAACGGGAAGAAATAGATTTTGACATCTAAATAACATTTATGAACAAGTTGATCTTTTTAAGACTCTTAACCTGAAATGGCCTGTGTTTGATGTCAGCTCAGTCACTAAAATTGAGCATTCATGATTGTATTCTCTGTCTCTGTAGATTTGGGCCTGTTCTCCACGAAGACACTAGTAGAGGCAAACCCGGAGCACCTGGTGGAGGTGCGGACGCAGCTGTGTCAGCCGGCCGATGAGAACTGGGACGCCAGCGGTCTGAAGAAGCAGTGGCGCTGCGAGAGCATCCGCTCCTACACCACCATCTCCACATACGCACAGTACCAGGCCTCGTCCTTCCAGGACTCGCTGCGGGTGAGACGCACGCACACAGATCGCAGCTCATTAGCGTTAGCGCAGTGATCGGTTACGTGTGGCATTTTGCATATCAAACGTCTGTGTTTGTGCGCTTTCAGGAAGAGCATGAGAAGAAGGGCCAGAAAGAGCTGTCAGACTCTGAAGTGACGTCATCAGAAACGTGAGTGTCACGTGACTAACAGCTTTAGCTGCGCTGATGTAAACCTGCGCTTACTCTCTCCCGTCTGCTCAGTGTTTCCAGGAGGCGGAAAGGTCCTTTCAGACAAGTCAAGTTTGGGACGAACATTGACGTCTCTGATGAAAAGAAGTGAGTTTTCAAGTGGTTTCCTTTTATTGCACTTTGTGTATATTGTGATAAGTCGAGTATTTGGCTTCAAACTGAGAACAAATGACAAAGCCAGTTTTTGAGTTTAACATGTCTCTGAATGCAGTTTAAGAGGCTGTGAGAATAACAGCTGCTGTAGTTAGTGAGGGAAGAGTCCAGTGCGGTTACACTAGTACATCTGCAGCTCAGTGTGATGTGAGTCTGCTAGTTAAATGAAGCCAAAGGCGGGTTGTTGACTGTGCTGCCCCCTGCAGGTGGAAGCTGCAGCTGCAGGAACTCAGTAAGCTGCCTGCGTTTGCGCGTGTGGTGTCTGCCGGGAACCTGCTGAGTCACGTGGGGCACAGCATTCTGGGTATGAACACGGTCCAGCTCTTCATGAAAGTCCCAGGCAGCAGAACTCCAGGTGAGACGCCGCTGTTATCGTGACGCTTCAGAAGCGCAGTCAAACCAGTCTGTCGCAGCCGGTCACGTGATCTCTCTGTTCATGTTCAGGCCATCAGGAGCATAATAACTTCTGCGCCGTCAACATCAACATCGGGCCGGGCGACTGCGAGTGGTTTGCCGTGCCGGAGCCGTACTGGGGCGTGATGAGCGAGTTCTGTGAGAAGTACGTGACGTTCGTGAGTCGCTTCAGAGCTGTTTGGCTCTCGTGAACGTTTAATTAAATCATAAATCGCTTCGGTTGATAATAAGCAAGTGTCTCTCTTTCAGGAACAACATAAACTTCCTGAAGGGCTCGTGGTGGCCGAATCTGGAGGATCTGTACGAGGCTAACGTGCCGGTGTACCGCTTCATCCAGCGGCCTGGAGATCTGGTGTGGCTGAACACGGGGACGGTGCACTGGGGTCAGGCCATCGGCTGGTGCAATAACATCTCGTGGAGCGTGGGCCCTCTGACCGGTGCGCAGATGTTCAGCCTGGCTCTCTGCATGTTTCTGGCTTGTTGTGTGATTGTCGTGTTTGTCTGTTTCCTGCAGCGTATCAGTACAAGCTGGCCGTCGAACGTTACGAGTGGAACAAACTCCAGAGCGTCAAATCTATGGTTCCCATGGTGCATCTGTCCTGGAACATGGCGAGGAACATTAAAGTGTCCGACCACAAGCTGTTTGAGATGATCAAGTGAGTGTGGCGTTTTCTCGATCAATTTGTCTCAGCTCCTCTGATTATCTGGATGGATTGGTAATACATGTCTCTGGTTCACAGGTTCTGTCTGCTGCGGACGCTCAAGCAGTGTCAGACGATTAAAGAGGCGCTGGTGTCTGCTGGGAAGGAGACGGTCTGGCACAGAAGAAGCCGAGATGAGCCGGCTCATTACTGCAGCATCTGTGAGGTGAGTGCTGGACTCTACAGCAGAATAACTGTCCGCGCTCATCTGAATCACGCTCCTGTGCTGCTGTGTTCCAGGTGGAGGTGTTTAACCTGCTCTTTGTGACGAGCCACAGTTACTCCAGGAAGTCCTGCGTGGTTCAGTGTCAGGATTGCGCTCGGAAGGCCAGCAGCGAGCTCGACGGTTTCGTGGTGCTGCAGCAGTTCAGGATGGAGGACCTCATGCAGGTTTACGACCAGTTCTCATTAGTAAGTCGCTTTAACATTCATTCACTCACCCACACACTCACTCTTTCACTCACTCACTCACTCACTCTTTCACTCACCCACTCACACACACACTCACTCTCGCGCACACACACACTCACTCGCTCTCTCTCATTCTCTCTTTCACCCACTCACTCTCTCATTCACTCACACACCCACTCACTTGCTCTCTCTCTCATTCACCCACTCACACTCATTCACTCTCACAGACATACTTATTCACTCACTCTCACACATACTCATTCACTCACTCTCGCACACACTCACTCACTCTCATTCACACACACTCACTCACACACACATACACTCATTCACTCTCTCTCTCTTTCACCCACTCACACTCTCATTCACTCACTCACACACTCACTTGCTCTCTCTCATTCACTCACACTCTCATTCACTCTCACAGACACTTATTCACTCACTCTCACACTCACTCACACACTCACTCTCACACACACTCACTCTCTCTCACACACACACGCTCATTCACTCACTCACTCTCACACTTTCACTCACTCACACACACTCACATTCACTCACACTCATTCACTCACTCTCACATACAAACACTCATTCACTCTCACTGACTCACACTCACACACTCGCTCGCTCTTTCACTCACTCACTCTCACACTCACTCTCTCACACACACACACACACACTCACTCTCACACACACACTCATTCACTCACTCTCTCTCACACACACACTCTCACTGACTCACTCGCTCTCACACTCGCTCGCTCTCTCATTCAATTCAATTCAAATAGCTTTATTGGCATGACAAAAATACATTTTGTATTGCCAAAGCATTAAGACAACAAAGAGAATGGTTTAACATCTGAACATTTACATTAGAACATCTTAACATTTATTTATATATTATAACTAATATGTAATATATATCTAATATGGAAATGTCTCACACACTCATTCACTCTCACACTCACACACTCACTCTCACACACACTCACTCTCTCTCACACACACACTCTCTCACACTTATTCACTCACTCTCACACACACACTCATTCACAGACTCTCACACACTCATTCACTCACTCACACACATTCACTCACACTCATTCACTCACTCACACACATTCACTCACACTCATTCACTCACTCACACACATTCACTCACACTCATTCACTCACTCACACACATTCACTCACACTCATTCACTCACTCACACACATTCACTCACACTCATTCACTCACTCACACACATTCACACACACTCATTCACTCACACGCACTCACACACTCACTCTCACACACAGACACACGCAATCTCCCACACTCACTCACACACACTCATTCACTCACACATGCTCACTCTCTCACAGACACACGCACTCTCATTCACTCACTCTCACACACACGCACTCTCATTCACTCACACACACACACACACACACTCTCTCTCACACACGCACACACACACACACACTCTCTCTCACACACGCACACACACACACACACTCTCTCTCACACACGCACACACACACACACACTCTCTCTCACACACGCACACACACACACACACTCTCTCTCACACACGCACACACACACACACACTCTCTCTCACACACGCACACACACACACACACTCTCTCTCACACACGCACACACACACACACACTCTCTCTCACACACGCACACACACACACACACTCTCTCTCACACACAC